CCCTCCCTCTTCACCACGTATTTTACGGAAGGCTTCATACATAACTGAGGCGCGAGCTTCCATTCCGGGCCCCAAACCCGTCCTACCAGTGTGTGTGTCTGTGTGTTTGTCTGTATGTATGCGTCTTTACGTGTGTGACCCAGAACGACAAGGTCTTGCGACTTGTAGGCTGCGTTCAATCTCTGAAGACAATCAAACCGTTCGTGTTAGCTCGGAATCCTCTTCTTCTTGCGCTCCTGTCAATGGTAAACATTCCATAGGGTGACTGGCAGGTCAACTGTATCGTGTCGTCGAACATGACGATATTTTACGGTGACTCGCTTGGTGGGAAACTCTGAAAGCGACGAGATATAAGAAATTGACAGATTCTGCGAGTGGCACTTAAAATAGTCGCAGTAAAAACGAAGTACTATTTTATGGTACTTATCGCTCATTCATCCTTACGCTCGCGTCTTTGTGCTTGAAAGAGAGAGTAAGAAGAAAAGAAAGAGGAACGATGTAAAGATTTGATGATAATAGTTTCTTTTACCGAGACCACCACCAATGTTTATTTCTTTCGTCTTAGCTACGCCAGGTGCATTCTCTCTCTCTCTCTCTCTCTCTCTCTCTCTCTCTCTCTCTCTCTCTCTCTCTCTCTCTCTCCCCCTCTCTCTCCCTCTCTCCCGCTCTCTCTCTCCCCCCTCTCTCCCTCTCTCTCTGTTTATGTACGCTCGAGTGGTCTGGAATAAAGACACCTACAACTCTCTCGCTATGCATTTTGTGTGTTTTGTGTAGTGTACAGAGTGTGTGTGTGTCGATGTGTGTATGTGACAGTGTGTAACCCGTCACTCCCTCTGCCACAAAGACCGGGATATGAGCCTCCCAGATTTATCTCAGCGTGTACAAAACAGGCTGCTGAAGAAGTTCTTGTTATTCATGTACTGGGCCGTGTCATTCACCGGATTATACTGCACGTGTATAGGTGTTTCACAGCAGTGTGGGAAAAGAAATGTCGAACCGATTTCTTTTACCGTCTGTCAATTAGGGAAACCCAGTGACTGATCGAATCACCGTAACACTGAAGTTCTACTGTGGATAATATTTATGTGCTTGTATTTCTTTCACATCGAAGATCCTTGGATAATTTTCTTTCTGTGGCCTCTAAACGTATAGTGTCCCTCAGGTGCCGATTCAATATTTTATTTCATACTGTGTTTGATTTGGATCATTACCGAATTTAAGTTATATCTTTTTATATTTCTTCCTCCATTACTCCAACAAACAAAACAAAAAAAACCTAACAGAAGCAAACAAACCAAATTTTTTTAAAAGTAAAAGAAACCCAATGGAAAAAAAGGAAAAACTTAAACATATGCAGGATAGCGAAAAAAGAAAATTCTGAATATCATGTGTGTACTTTCTACAAATAGGAAGTAAAATTAGTATCATTTTTATTATCATTTTTATTTATTTAT